TTATGTTGTGGGTAGAGTAGTTAGCCGTCTCACCCCCGTCTCTCCCCCGTCTCTCCCCCGTCTCTCCCCCGTCTCTCCCCCGTCTCTCCCTCGTCTCTCCCCCGTCTCTCCCCCGTCTCTCCCCCGTCTCACCCCCGTCTCACACGTCCAGAGAAAGTGCAGAGAAAACAAGTCCTTCTGGAGAACCGCAAGCTGCAGAAAAACTGGTCACAGAGGTTTTATGGTAATAAACGATGGTTACGTTCAGTGGGATTGTGTTCATGTATGGTTGATGGTGTTAGGGACCATAAATGGATTCATAAAGAACCCTTCTGATCTAACACTGGTCTCTCTCGCTCTCTTTAGACTCTCTCTGGTATTTCTTTCTAGTCACTCGCTCTGGTCTCTCTGGTCTCTCTCTCTAGTCTCCCCCTCTGGTCCCTTTCAAGTCTCTCTTTCTGGTCTGTCTTTGGTCTCTCTCTGGGTCTCTCTGGTCTGTCTTTGGTCTCTCTCTCTGGTCTGTCTTTGGTCTCTCTCTCTGGCTCTCTCTGGTCTCTCTCTCTGGTCCCTTTCTCTTGTCTCTTTCTGGTCTTTCTTTGGTTTTTCTTTTTAATTTATCTCTCTGGTCTCTCTTGCCTCTCTCTCTGGGTCTCTCTCTCTAGTCTCTCTCTTTTGTCTCTCTTTGGTCTTTCTTTGGTTTTTCTTTCTAGTTTATCTCTCTGGTCTCTCTCTAGTCCCTCTCTCTCTCTGGTCTCTCTCTAGTCCCTCTCTCTCTCTCTGGTCTCTCTCTAGTCCCTCTCTCTCTCTGGTCTCTCTCTAGTCCCTCTCTCTCTCTGGTCTCTCTCTCTGGTCTCTCTCTAGTCCCTCTCTCTCTCTGGTCTCTCTCTCTGGTCTCTCTCTAGTCCCTCTCTCTCTCTGGTCCCTCTCTCTCTCTCTGGTCTCTCTGGTCTCTCTCTCTTTCATCTTTAGATCTTTAGATGTAAAAGTTTTCGCTCTGTAATCAGCCTCTGAACCACTAGATTTGAGCGAGTCCACGTTGGAATAATGGCTGCTTTCTCACATCAGTTGTTGAGGATCATTTGCTGCACACTTCATTTGTTTTTATGGGTTTTTTGGGTTTGAAAAGCAATGTTTCTGCCAACGTTGATTTTACAAGAAGAAGAGAACAGAGCACATTCTCAGCTGCAGAAAAGCACGTGGGATTTCAGAGTCCATCAGGTGTGGATGGGTTTGTACCGATCCATGTGCTGAAGTCTTAAATGTCTATGTTTTATCTTAAATACTAGGTCACTTGTTTAAAGTTCAGGTACCTAACTTTGAAACTACAAAGACTAGAACTACTGTATATAATTAAGTAAAAGTAGTTCCTCCTAGTTTTCTGCTATTACTAGTTTTCACTTGTATGTGTTTTTGGATTCTGCTAGGGCTTTAGATCAGGGAGAGAGACAGAGCAGAGAAATGCCAGAGAGAGACCAGAGAGAGAGAGAGACCAGAGAGAGAGAGACCAGGGAGAGAGAGACCAGAAATACCAAAGGGAAAGAGAGAAGGAGACTAGATAGGGACTAGAGAGAGACAGAACAGAGACATACCAGAGAGAGACGGAGAGACCGGAGAGAGAGAGATTAGGGAGAGAGACCAGAGAGACCACAAAGAGAGAGACCAGAGAGACCACAGAGAGAGAGACCAGAGAGACCACAGAGAGAGAGAGACCAGAGAGACCACAGAGAGAGAGAGACCAGAGAGACCACAGAGAGAGAGACCAGAGAGACCACAGAGAGAGAGACCAGAGAGACCGGAGAGAGAGAGACCAGAGAGCCCACAGAGAGAGAGACCAGAGAGACCGGAGAGAGAGAGACCAGGGAGAGAGACCATTTAGAGACAAGTCAGAAACCAGAGAGAGTGAGCAGAGATACCGGAAAGAGACCTCTGTCACATCTCTGGATCATTTTTTTCAGATACAAAAGTGAAAAAGATTGCACCACTCTCACTCAGTCAGTCAGCTCTCAGCCTAAAGCATAAAATACTGACTCATAGGGGTCTTTCTTCAAAATGTAACATGTTTTCTAACAAGATAAAGATGCCATGTGGCGATCCGAAGACTTTCTGTTGAAACAAACAATGAGGATTAGTTATGAAGAAAAAACAGTGGGAAAAATGTGATAAACATCGAGGAGGCCCACATTGAAGAGAGAGATCCACTCCCACAGACTGAGGCTGTAGACCCAGGACTGAGGCTGTAGATCCAGGACTGAGGCTGTAGATCCAGGACTGAGGCTGTAGACCCAGGACTGAGGCTGTAGACCCAGGACTGAGGCTGTAGATCCAGGACTGAGACTGTAGATCCAGGACTGAGGCTGTGGATCCAGGACGTTCCACCATGTAATGTCTAAGATCTTCATTCTCTCACATACCCCTCTGTATATAGAGCAGATCCACATTTCAGGTTCTTTGAGGACACTGTCTTCGAGCTCAAACACCAAAAATCTGAATTACACTTAAGCCTCGTTGACAACTTCTATCCTCCGACAAGTTCTGTCCCACAAAAGTTTGCAAAGTCACGCTTCCAACCAAAATGTGGAGCAAACAGTTTCCTCTCTTTGGGGTCAGGAGCTGAGTTGAATATTGGGCTAATCAGACGGATGCCTTTTTCCGTTTCTCTGAGCCAAAGCCAGAGACGTTTGTGAGATGTCGAGCAGAGAAAGTCCTGTCCTCGTCTCCAGAGAGAGAGACCAAAGAGGACCAGAGAGAGACCAGAGAGAGTCCAAAAAAGACAAGAGAGACCAGAGAGAGACCGGTGAGAGACCAAAGATATACCAGAGAGAGGGACCAGAGAGGGACCAGAGAGAGACCAGAGAGAGACCAAAGAGAAACCAGAGAGAGACCAGAGGGAGACCAGAGAGAGACCAAAGAGAAACCAGAGAGAGACCAGAGAGAGACCAGAGAGAGACCAAAGAGAGACCAGAGAGAGACCAGAGAGAGACCAAAGAGAGACCAGAGAGAGACCAGAGAGAGACCAAAGAGAGTCCAAAGAAGACAAGAGAGACCAGAGAGAGAGCAAAGAGAGACCAGAGAGAGACCAAAGAGAGCCCAAAGAAGACAAGAGAGACCAGAGAGAGACCAAAGAGAGACTAAAGAGAGACCAGAGAGAGAGACCAGAGAGGCCAGTGTGTGAGAGAGAGACAGATAGAAGGAGGTTATGGCTTCCTTTATAACGTAAAACAAAATATATATATTTATTATTGCTTCACCACACAGAGAGAAAGACAAAAGGAGAGAGCGACCAGAAAGGCCGGCAAGGGACCAGAGAGTGACTAGAAAGAGAGACCAGAGCGACCAGAGTGAGTGACAGGAGAGAGGGACAAGAGAGAGACGAGAGAGTGAGACCAGAGAGTTAGAGAGAGAGACTAGATTGAAATCAGAAAGAGAGAGTTAGAGAGAGAGACCAGAGAACACAAGGACACAATCAGTAGTCATGTCACAGTCAGATCTCCACAACTCAAGAAATGAGGGAGAAATCTCCAGGTTTCGAACTCGGCTCCTGGTGTTTCTCTCTGGTGTTTGGTTTTATTGTTGCGGTGGAATGTGTGGAATGTCCAGAGAAACTCCCGTCCTCTGTCCACTCTCACAGACACTAAGACCAGAGGGACCAGGTCTGGACATGCCCTGGACACTCACAATGGTCACAGGACTTTTGAAGGATGGAAGCAAAACAGCGCCATCTCAGGGTCAGTGTGAGCATCTTCACAAAACAAGAAAAAAAACGGTCGTTAAAAGTACATTACTCACATGTTGTGATGGAGCAGGGTCTGTGTTTTGCTCAGTTCTGGAGAATGTGGTTTTGTCTCTACAGATTGAGAGCGGCCGTCCTCAATCTACAGCCTCGGTCCTGGATCTACAGCCTCAGTCCTGGATCTACAGCCTCAGTCCTGGGTCTACAGCCTCAGTCCAGGGTCTACAGCCTCAGTCCAGGGTCTACAGCCTCAGTCCTGGATCTACAGCCTCAGTCCTGAATCTACAGCCTCAGTCCTGGGTCTACAGCCTCAGTCCTGGGTCTACAGCCTCAGTCTTGGATCTACAGCCTCAGTTCTTCATCTACAGTCTATACTGTTGTAATTTAGTAAATACATTGAAATGAATTGAATTGGTAAAACTGCAGACAGATAAACCACTAACAATACTAACTTATTATCAATCATATCACTTCTATTTTCTAGAGACCAGTCCCCAAATGTTCTCAATCTGAAAAACATTATTTCACTTTAAAGGTCTCTCTCTGTGTCTTGTTGTGAGAAACCTCCTGGTGCGGACAGCTGTGATGAATGTTGCGACCGGTGGAAGATGTTGAAATTGCACGCGTCGCCAGTTTGGATGAAAAGACACATTCTTCTCGCTCCCACCTTTCTCTCTTTGGAGGAAGTACAGCACTGCCAGGGCCGCCAGAGTCGCCCTGGGGCAGAACCAGATCCATGCAGCTGTGCGTGTGTCCCAGAGACGGCCGTCCCAAAGAGACGAGACCCGCATTCCTCCAGGATCAGGGATTAGTCTCTGCTGTAAAAGTGTTGCTCCTGAGAGTCCAACTAAAGTGACTTCTAACGGTAATAAAGTATAGTCAATGTGTTTGTTTACAGCTCAGATCACAGCAGCAGACGTCTCTGAGGACTTTACAAAGTTGTGGATTCACCAACAACAGATCAGAGAATCAGTGAGCTAAACCAGAGAGAGACTGGTTTAGGACTGATGTCTGTCGTCGTTGTGTCCTCGGCCAAAACACTTAGGCCTCATCCCAATTCTCACCCTAGCCCTTTTACTGTACCCTTACCCTAGGTTTTGCCCACGCCCATGGGGGTTGTGGGTTGCATCAATACTCTATTTTAAATTTAAATTTATTCTTTAGAAGTGTTTTTTATTCTTATTTTTATTATCTCTTTTTGACTGTTGCACTGAGCCAAAGCAATTTCCTAGTCTGTGACCTCCTGTTACTTACGTGGCAATAAAAATGATTCTGATTCTGATTCTGATTA